TCTGTAATGTACAAATAATATCAAATGATTCTTTCATACAAGAAAACTGATAGATATGAAAAAGAAAGTCTAATGAAAGTCATGTTTCTGAACTTTTAATTGATAATTCAGTTTATTGAAGTTTTCAAAAACATCTTTCATGTACTTATAACATTCAAGATAAAATTATATTGAAAATGTGGTTACTTTTAGGGCTATTCTAGATAATTACCAATAATACAACTATATTTTTCGTAGTTCGCCGGTATGCTGCTTCTGGTGGCTGTTGCCAATGTCATGGCTGGTTACCTTGGTTATGGAGGATACGGTGGTGGTTATGGAGGCTACGGAGGTGGCCTAGGTGGCTATGGCGGCTACGGAGGTGGACTTGGTGGTTACGGCGGATATGGCGGACACGGAGGTGGATATGGTGGCTACGGAGGTGGACTTGGTGGCTACGGCGGATATGGCGGATACGGAGGTGGATATGGTGGCTACGGAGGTGGACTTGGTGGTTACGGCGGATATGGCGGACACGGAGGTGGATATGGTGGCTACGGAGGTGGACTTGGTGGCTACGGCGGATATGGAGGTTATGGTGGCGGCTATGGCTGGCATTAAAACCAACATGTACATTGTTTAAGAAGGAAAGTGAGTTAGGTGAGACACGACATACGAATTCCTTGATAAAATATTGTAATATAAATAATTTCTCATACAAAACTTTCGTCCCTCAGTTGGGGAGATGTCAGCTTACGGTCTTACAACACTAAAATTCTAGGTTCGATTAGTCGTGGTGGATACAGCAGATATACCAGTATGGTTTTGCTCTGAACTAAACATTTATAATTTTCAAAGCATATCGATTCTTTATTTTCTCATATTCAAGTGACTTTACTTTTGACTTATACATAATATAATCACTTTTCACGGAAAATCTTATCTATTTTGTACATAGAAGGACTACAAAATATCTTATAGTTATTGTTCAAAAGTAGTAGAACAGCTAATAATAAGATGGTTAATACTGTGATTAAAATTGCATATATGTTTAACATACATCTAGATTGATTGAATATGAAAAAATACAATTATATATTTACTGCAGAAGAAAATGTATTTACGAGAGATTTTTTTTTAACTAGGTCTCTTCACAAAATCAATACAAGCGGACGAACCATCTGCAGCTTTTGTATATAAGACTGAAATATTGTTGAAGAAACGTCAGTTCCATATTTCATTATATAACATTGCTAGTATACAATAAATATCTTTTTTTCACTTGTGTAGTGTGTCTGCTTATAATTTCTTTCACGTGTGTGACGTTCATATGAAATTATTATTCTAAATGTTATTTTTACTGCATTTCATATTTACGTTGTTGTAAAATATTGGAGCCTTTTCTACAAAAACAGCACATGAAACATGAAGTAGATATAAAGGACCACCTGCTGCCTTTTTTATTTAGGAGGATAGTTTTAGTTTGATTTAGTGCAAAGCTACCAATAGACTATCTATGTTTTGTCCACCATGGAGAATCGAACCCCGAATTTTAGCAATTTAAGTACGTAAGTTTTCCGTTGACCAACCTGGGGACTATTTAGGAGGAGAGAATGGACTTTCCTCTTCTATAAAACGTTGACTCTTGTTAGCAGTTTACAAAAAAAAATAAGTAAGAATTGTTTTTTTTTTACCGTTTTACAGTGTGCACAACAATTAAAAACTATCAGCATATCGGTTGTGTTTTATTGTTGCTCGTTGAATCAGTACAAAAAATGTTAAATTACTCTTTTCTGTTACATAACCATAGCCTGAAAAAAGGGTGAAGCAAAGTATTGACGCAATGTTAGCTGCTAACCGACAGCTTAAGTTGCTAGTATTGAAACCAGTTAATTTCGGTAATGAAATTTGTATATAATATGACATGTATAACACGAACACTAAAACACATATTATGAAATAAATTCTTAGATCTATAGCTACTACTATGGTAAATGTAAAAGTCAATTTAAGTTTAAAATGTTGCTGTAAATTAAAGGTCAGGCTTGTATGTTGATGCTCAAAAATGTCTGTTTTATAAAGCACCTGTCAACTTGAAAAAATTACATATTAATGCCTTGTTTCGTTTATTTTTCCTTGTGATTTTGTATTAGGTTAGTTGAATAAATTTATAACATAAATGTGCCTTATTTTTGTTACAACCATTCCAGTCGTTCTAACACTACTTTATCAACAAACAAATTCAGTGAAACACAATCGAGAACACGTAATTTCAGTTATTATTGTAAAATTTATCAGCCCTGCTGGTATAAGCTATTACATAATGGGTTGTGCCTACTTTATAGATTGTACACAAGCATTCAGCAGGAATTTACAAAAGAAAAAAAGAAATGAAATTCCACAAAAGAAATGTTGAGTGATTTTTCGAACAACAACACCTAAATGTTAATACAGATCTTTAATGGGGTTTATGTGCATGGTGATCGAATAACACGTATTAACAAATTTACTGGTAAAGTTGCAAGTTGAGAGAAAAAACTCTGAATCAAGAATAACAATCCTGTAACTCATGTTATAACGAAAAGGAGTAATTCTGACGGTATATGTCGTCCATATCTCTGATTGTAGTACATAAAGATCAGAATACTGAAACATAGCAATGTGAAGGTTTCGGGGTATGCTTTTTATACAATGAAAATTGAGTAGCTCTTAGGTTTGAGCCTAACAAACAGCAAACAATCCTTGCCATCATATTTTGTATGAATATTTGTTGATTTGTTTTCTGTTTGTTTGTTGTAAAGCACAAAGCTACATAGTGGGCTATCTGTGTTCCACCTATCGCTTGTAGCGAAACCCGATTTTTAGCCACTTTTGATTGGTGTTATACAGCTATACAATGTGCTATCTCCACTACACTCACTGCGGGGAATCGAACCCCGGATTTTAGCAATGTAATCGACTGGATACTTTTGTAACTTATAAATTGATGGTAATATTTTTGTTAAAACTAAACATTAACAGTTTTCGCTTGAAATCTGAAATTTTGCGTGTCTTCTTCCATTTAACTTGCACGAAATTCAAAACAAACCAAACCTTTCACTTAACATGTACTAGATGTACTTCCGCAGGGGGTCTCCGAAAGTGTTCCGTTTCAAGAGTAAATAAAACCAAAATTAAGAGTAACAAATATTTCTATTTTTTGCTTTTGAAATTCATATGTCATGTTGTGTTGTAGTCTACAAAGTGCATAATTCTTTTCGTAATTCATGCCATGCGCACGTTTTACTGACGTCACGACAGTACAAAGTGCAACGTTAAGCGTCCAATATTTGACGTTATTTTAGTGTCTACTGACTGGCTGACAGACAACACACTACTGTATAGTGGTGCGGGTAGTTAAAACAGGTGACTCCTCCAGGAGGCCGAAGGCCCCCTTTCGGGCAAATAAGCAACAGGTTGTTCGTTTCTGAATTTATATTTTTTCCCAAAGCTAGACAAAGAGCTGTTCGTCCTTAGTTTTTGGACAAATACACTGGAAGGAAAACAGATAACTTGTTAACACCACCTATACGCAACTCTTGAGTTACCTTTGTCTGACCAGTAGGTTAATAGGACTTATTAAATTATGATTGTATTAAAAATCACTTTGAAAAACGTGATTTCTTACTTCTTACGACGCTTTAATTATAGGCGACATAGTTAAAGTTTACGTAGTACAAATATATAAAATATACCTGCTTAAAAATAACACAACACCAACAGTTAATTATGTAAATAATAAAGGTAGAAATATTATAAGCTTGATAATTTCTCAGTACAATTTAAGCAATTAAACAAACAATGGGAATTTATAAAGAAACTTATTCAGAGACGTTGACTAAGGTTTTTTATGTTATTACTGGATGTAGAAAGTTTTGGTTTCTATGGAAAAATGACATATTTAAAATTAACGACATATTTAAAATTATAAAATAAAACAGGTTACTAAAAGCAGACCACTGGCGCTGAAAAATAAAACTAATCTCCTGAACTGAGCTTTTCAGATCTCGTTTTTATAAACATCATAATAAAACCTAATATGTATACATCAATAACTACTACTACTGGAATAATGAAATATGGAATTTACCCGCACTATTTACTGGACATTTTTCTACAAAGTAATACAAGTATGTATCGATAACGATGCTAAACATAGTTAGACGATATCAACTTCCATACATCATGCTGTGATAGAGAAAACGAGGTTATTCACACAAGATAAAACTGACCATGTACGTACGTATGAAAACAAGTTGTTAGTACACATTGTGGTATGAATGGAAAGACATAGAGTTAATTGTAAGGAATCAGATAAATGTATTAATAGATTGAAACAAAATATGAATATCGGTGAGTAACCCTATATCTTAATTTTTCAACAATGTTTTAAGCATCTAATATTTTAAACTCACCACATTGAAACAAGTGTATTCTTGTTATTAGATATAAATCACATCATTTCAATCCTCCACTCACGGAGGAAGCTTTCTAAATAATTATGGTCAACAGTAAGTTTACGGATTTACAACGCTAAAATCCAGAGTTCAGTTCCTCGCGGTGAACAGACTGGAGTATCCAGCACATTGTGTGGCTTTGCGCTAAAAACGATAACAAACAGGACAGCCTAATTTCAATACGCCGTTATCGAAACATTTTTATACGCGCCAGGCAGAAAGCAAAACAAAGAGAATTCTACATTATTTGACTTTGTACTAGCTAGAGGTTTCCATACTCATTGCCACACGCAAACATGTATGAAGATCGTAGTTGTCTTTTACACATTGTGCATTTTTCCTTTCACTTTGAAGACTCTAGAGCGTATAACTTCACTTGAGTGAGTTATGCTGCTTTCTATGTTTATTTTAATATTTCAGTCCGCCAGAGCTTTTTCGTTCAGTTAGCTTTTATACGAAATTTTAGATTAATTCTGTCGATTTTTCCAAAACCAATATTAATCAAATTTTGAAAGTAATAAAATAAAGATAAATTCATCATTGTTATAATCTCTAATATAGCTATAACTTTGATTAATTGTTATCTGTCTTTCTTCTCTCATTGCTATTATTTCAATCCTTATCTCTTACAAAGTAGCCATAGAGTTGGCGGTGGGTAGTGTTGACTAGATGCCATCCTTGTATTCTAGAATTAGAATTAGGGGCGGCTAGAGCAGATAGCCCTGAAGTAACTTTGGGCGAAATTCAATGAAACAATTACCATAGTGAGACAGAATAACTGACACTGGATGGCACTGAGGTAACTATCACGGTTACCATGGTGATATATAAATCAGTCTGTCATTCTATAGAAATAAATCGATATAATATTTTATTAATAGCCAATAACTGACTTATTTCCATAGAGTTATAGACTGACTTACACATGACTGTGGTTACTGTGATAATTATTTCAGCACCACCCAGTGTCAGTCGTTTTGTAATTTTGTTCAATTAAGATTATTACTTTTTTGATTTTCCTCACTCCATTGTTGAATTCTAGGCAGTTAATTCACGTTATTTTATAAACGATGTTGGTATTGTGTGATTTTACATATTGTTTATTAGTAAGGATTTTAGTTTA